GGAGGATCCATTTCCTTCCCACCCTTTAGTGCTTGGGGTCTGCAACCACATCAAGCCCCACCGACTGACAATGCAAGAAGCTGCAGAGGCCCAACCCTTCCTTTGGGAGCCACAATGCACACCATTAACACCAGCCTGGCTCTGGGGGAAATGCTTTTCACTGTGGGTTGTTCTGCTTTTCCTCTACCGAGGCCTGTGCACCAGGGCCAGCCATGTCCAGCTGTTAACTGGCTGTGCCTGCTGCAGCCCAACAGTCGGAGTGCAGAAGGGGTGAAGCAACACGCAGACGCCTGTCAGGCATGGAGGTAAACATTAAAACACTGCCTAGCAACTGGCATAATAACCGCTTGACATGCAGCTCCGGCAGCAGCTGCAGCGCAGGCAGGCACACCCTGCTTGCACACTGGGGGTGGCAAACCCCCGCCATGGCCAGGGCCGAGCACCCTCTCCCACAAAGTTTCTGCTGCCAAGGGAAAAAGCAAGAACAAGGAGAGTTCGACTCGTGCTGGCGGTTGGGGCTGGGCAGAGGAAGCCAGGGAGGTGCTGCTGCAGAGAGAACAAAGTTTTTGTTGTGTTGTTAGGGACACCCTCAAGGGCAGAGCTGACAGACGACGGAAAAATGAGCGTCATCAGTGCTGACGCTTGTTCCTCCTCCAGCTGCACCTGTGGGTCCTGCCCGGGCAGAGGTATGGGCTTTATGGACAGCACAGAGGATGCTGTGCTGTCCCCGGGGAATGTCCCCTGCGAGCAAGGTGGCAGCCAGGGGTCCCAGCCTGGGGGATGGCTGCTGCACAGCTATTCAGAAAGCACCTTTGAGAGTTGTGAGAGGAGAAAAACTCCACGGCAAAGAGGAGGAAAACTCCATGGCAAAGCATCCAGGACCAGAGGGAGTTCACCAGCAGGGAGCATACAGAGATGGTCCCTGCAGAGGAGCCCATTGGTGGCACAGGACCCCCATGACCACCACAGAAGGGACTCGAAAGACAGAGAAGAGGTTACAGGTTAACACTGATGAAGCAAAGACTGGTACCTGTTAATTACCCCACCCTGCTAGCAGAGCGGCTGGGGGACAAGGCAGCATGACAGCTCTCCCCAGCCCGCCCAGATGGCTGGACAGGCACAGACAGACTGACAAGGAAGGGAACTGACCAGCGGACCTCAGATGCTCTTGGCCATGCGTTAGAAGATGGCTTTTCAGGAAGGGCTGATGAAGAGACTGGGGATCTAATTTGATAAGAGAAGGAATACCCTTAGAAACTCATTTATAAAATTAGTGGGATAATCTTCCTGCTGCTGTTGAAAGAGAACAGTCACAAAAGCCAAAAAGTGCCTTAGTAAAACTAAACAAAACAAAAAAGCCTACCAAAAATTGGTTATCTAGTCTCACTGTGTATACCCTGGAAATGTGGAAGTCAAAGGGAAAGTGAAACATGAGAAGAAAAAAAAGAAAGTAAAGGTGACAAACACCAAAGGAAAATAATTTTAACTATTCAGGGAACTGGATGCAAATGTCTATTTGGAAAAGTAAAAGAGCAGGTGAAGAAATCCCTGAGAGGTCTCAGTTATGGAAAGCTGTAAATCACTGAAAATATCCCATATGCAATGTAGCAAGAGCTATCGTCAACTAAACCTATAAATTTTGGAAATCCATAGAGAAGATTGATCAGATTGCAAGAGGTGATTGCCCACGCTTAGAAAGGAGCAACCAGCCAACAATGCAGCCATCAGCTACCTTCAGAAAGAGAAAACGTGTTGAAAACATTGACCAAGCAACCAACACAGAAACACTTAGATGATAACAAGAGCATAAATAAGAATCAAGAGACTGGTCAAGAATAAAGCAGGTAAAGACAATGCAGCACTCAACACTCAAACATAGATAGAAGCCTGATGGATAAGAACGAACAAACCTTCAGAGCAGGACATGTTGTCACTGCAGCTTCTCACAGCACTTGAGGTGATACTTGCTCAAATGAAACAGGGAAGTCAGCATGCAGCACTGGGTTACTAGCTTGCTTTCAGCCAGTGTCCAGCCTGAACACTTCAGGGAGTTCCTGAAGGGAGTTCTGACAGGTAGACTGAAGGAGATCAGATGCAACAACACAAAACCCCAAAAGCTAGGCAGGCAGCAATACTGAGTAAAATACCTAAGGTTACAATGCCACAGGCTGAGATACTCTTGCCAAAAACAACCCAGGAAAGAGGAATCCAAGATAATCTGTTACCATGGCAACATAAATAGAAATGTAAAATATGGGAATGACTTTCCACCTTCTTGGCTTGAGCTTCTCTAGGTCAAGTGCTAGGGCACTTCTGGCCATCACACTGCAGTGCAGCTGAATAAAGAAAGAGATCCGAGGACAGGTTTAGTGGGGGGAAAAAAAAAAAAAACAAGGAAGACAAACTGAGTATGAAGGTCTTAGTGGCAGGAAAAGCACAGTGGCACCTGATGGTTTCTCCTCTGGTCAGAGAGCCAAGAAAATGTGAAAAGAAGAAGAAAATGGCTTATTCGATCGCAAAGACTCTCTCAAGTCAGAGCTTGAAGATGTTCCTTCCTGGCAGAAGTGCTACTCTGTGGCTGAGACTGCCTACATGAACCAAACATTTCCAGCCCCAGCAGCCTTTGGGCCAGTTTATATAAATATTTTCACAGTGATCTAGCCGTGCTTCATCCCGGAGAGCACTGAAGAGCCACCCGAGTACTCTTTTGGGCTTACACACCTTTACATATGAATGAGTTTGGACTGCTTCTCTGCTTCAAGTTAACAACAATTTTGTTATTTCAGTATTACTAACTTAACAGGGTTGCTTCAATACAGCTGTGTAATGCAAGGCAAAAGCTGATCTACCCAACCATAAATGGTTGCTTCTTCACCTGAATGGTTCTCTTACTAAGCTTTAATTAAGAGTGTTTGTAAGATGTGGGCAGCAAGTGCTCTTCAGAGAACTATTGTGAAAAACAATG